GGGAACTGAGACTGTGGGAATGTGCCTCGGGCAGGCAGGGTGGGCTGGGCCCCGTGGGAAGGGGCTGCTGCTCTCAGGAGCCCCGACGAATGGGGTCCTGGGGTCGAGGGGAGAAGGGGACCTGCAGGCTGGCCGCTGTGGGGTCGAGGGTCACTGTCGGGCGCCTCCAGGTCTTCCAGAGAGAGCTGGCCGGGCAGTGGGAGGTTGGGGGACTGTGTGGGGAAGGAAAGAGGAAGCCATGGGGAGAGGGGGGATGGGGCTGCTGGGGATGGAGTGGGAGTGGGGGCTGGGGGCCTGGAGCCACTTTGGCCGCAGCCACTCACTCCTCCCCTTTCGGTTTGTAAATAGCTGCTGGCTCCGTGCAGGCGGGATGGCCCTGCCCCTTCTGTGGCCTGTGTCCAGGGAGGCCCAGGCCTGAGTCACTGCAGATGCACAAACCCTGGATTTGGGGACCCCAGGAGGCGTCCAGGCCTGTCCGGCCTTTGGCCCGGGTGGGCAGGTTCTGATGGGCCCAGTTCTGGGCAGCCCCGTGCTGTGGTCACTGAGGTAACGCAGCTGAGACAGAACTTGATGACTCGGCCACACGAGGCTTATTTATAACTGGGCCTCCGCGGGCAGGAGCAGCTGCTGAGCCGCCAACTCAGCACTTGGGCTGGCCCAGGGCACCAAGGAGGGACAGCATGGCGGGGCGCAGGCTGGCCCGGTGGCCCCTCAGCCTGGGCCTCGAGGTCTTAGGTCCCCAAGGCCTCTCTGGCTGGGGCAGGTCCTGTGCTCTGTGAGGAGCAGGCCTGGAGCTGCAGGGGGAGCTGTGTGTGGGCCGGCACCTCAGGACCTCCTGGACCAAGGGGGTGGCTGAACTCAGTCAGTGGACTGGTCAGTCCCCAGGGGGCTCAGGCCTCACCCTTCCTGCAAAAAAAACTTCCTCCAGAGGTCAGATGCTGTCAGCAAACTCAACAACAAGCAAGTCATCTCCCCTCCCTTTCTTGCAATAGCCGCTTCAAAACAAAACACAACACGTTCGGGAAGAGGGCAGTGCCGAACCCGAAGGCCTGGCCTAAGGGTGGAACTCGAGGCCCCCGGCAGAGGGGGAAAGGCTGGGTCCCTCCCAAGGCTCCCCCATCACAGCACAAGGCTCTCCTCACCTCCTTGGGGGACGGGACGGGGCGACTCTGTCCCCACCCTCCACACAACCGCTTGCCTTTCTTCTGAGGAAGAATTCGGGGAAGGTGTCAAACCCTTTCCTAAGTTTTGCAGGAACACAGAGGTTCTTAAAATCTTCCTCCCTGCCCTGACCGGTTTGGCTCAGCGGATTGAGCGTCAGCCTGCAGACCCAAGGGTCCCAGGTTCGATTCCGGTCAAGGGCATGTACCTTGGTTGCAGGCACATCCCCAGTGGGGAGTGTGCAGGAGGCAGCTGATCGATGTTTCTTTCTCATCGATGTTTCTAACTCCCTAGCCGTCTCCCTACCTCTCTGTAAAAAAAACAATAAAACATATTTTAAAAAAAAGCCTTCCTCCCACTTCTGAACCTTCTGGGTCAACCTGGTCACCTTCCACCCTCTCTGACTGTCCCATCAGCACCCTGCCTCCCGAACTTGGTCCTGGCCTCCCCACCTCCAAGCCATGTTTCAGTCTGGTCCCCGCCTGGCATGCCCTTTCCATCCCCCAGTCTATCCAAGCCCCCTCTCTGTCCAGGCCTGTGCTGAGGCCCCCAGCCCAATCCCCAAAGCTGAGGCTCTTGGGATGTAAAACTCAAAGCAAGCCCTGGCCAGCGTGACTCAGTGGTTAGAGCAACAGCCTGCAAACCGAAGGATCTTGGGTTCCATTCTGGGCCA